GGACATTGTTAATACTGCAACTCAATGTCAGTCACTTTGATTGCTCTAAGAAACCCAATCCCATCTATATTTACAATCGACTCTAGAAAAAAGAAAGATACCGGCTTTTTCATCAATGTTTGATCGGATAGGTGTGTCCAAATGCTGTTCAGCTTTCCACTGAATGTTACTATGGGCAACAGTTTTAAGAACTTTACATGAATAAAAGAGAACAGGAAAAAGAATCACTGTATAATAACTTATTGCTATGACCATGTCCATTTCATTCATGGGGCTGCTTGAATTTAGATTTTAACATTTTCTTGAGTTATTTCTCTGAGCCCTTTTCTATTCTCTCCGGAATGCTCAAATGCATACCTAATTAGCTTCTCTTCTCGTTCCTCGTTATTTCATTTCAGTCTTTTAATCCACTGCTGCCAGGGTGCATTTGCCAAAATGATGCTCCGATATAGGCTTTGTGTCCCCACCTAAATATCATTTTGAATTACAATCCCTATAATCTCCACATGTCAAGGAAGAGACCAGGTGGAGGTATTTGGATCACGGGGCGGTTCCCCTGTGCCATTCTCACGATAGTGAGGATAGTGAGTTCTCACGAGATCTGACGGTTATATAAGGGGCACTTCCCCCTTTGCTAGGCACTTCTCCCTCCTGACACATTGTGAAGGCGCTTTGCTTCCTCTTCATCTTCCACCATGACTGGAAGTTTCCTGAGGCCTCCCAGGCATGCTGTGAGTCAACTAAACCTCTTTCCTTTATAAATTGCTCAGTCTCAGGCAGTTCTCTATCGCAGTATGAAAACGGAATGATACATCCTCTTACCTCATTCCTCCCTGCTACAACTACTTACTGTGTAATAGGTTTTATGCTAGGACACGTGAGGTTAGTAGTTTGAGTAAGAAATAGCCTCTGTCCTCAAAAAAACTGGGGAGTTTTTATTCAATCTAGTGGGTAAAAGAAACATTTAAACAATGAGCTCTAATCTAGGACTGGGCAACATCAGTAACCAATGAAGGCCTAAGGAGCAGGTGTTTACAGCACAGAGGAATGAATGATTAATTATTATTTAAAAGCCCAATCTGTAGCTAATTTAAATACCTTGGAGGCTTGGGGGGCCCTTTATTGCTGGTTCCAACCTATTTTTCTAAATTTAGCCCATTGGTTGCCTTCATAAACTTTCAATACTATCTTGGTTTTTCCAGAAGCTCTTAAAGACATTTCTTCATTAAGGCTTTAAAAAAAAAATACTAATAAGAAAATTAAAATCAAACTGGTTTATATAACAATAAGGATATATTAACTTATATAGCTGAAAAGTTTAAAAACATTTCTAAACTTTTAGAAACTAAAAGTGAAGCTTCGGGTGAGGCTTAATTCAGCAGCTAAAATAATGTCACCTGATTCCTTTTGCCCCTCTTCTTTGATTCTGGTTTTCAGATTGAGAACATCTGGAAATTCTAGGCTCAGCCTCAGGTAGTGCAAAAAACTTTAGTTTTGAACTTAAATTCCTCCTATCCATGGTAAAAAAAAAAAAAAAAAAAAAAAAAAAAAAAAAAAAAAAAA